AAACGTGCCTCACACATCTTTAGAATACTGCGCAGAAACATCTACAGAAGACGAGCTTTAAATGACGCCACATGATCCTAAACACAACAACATACCACCCATATTAGCTGTACCTGATTTATTACTTCATCTTGTTCCACTGCCAGATACCTCAGTTCTCCAAAGCACCAAGCGACGCCCACTTTGAGTGAGCCCCAGCTTTTCAAAATTGGGAAATCCTGAGAAAAGTTGTCCGCGAACAATGATTCAGAACCTGTATTTGGACTCAATAGCTAAGGCTTGTATTAACCTCAACAGATAGAAGTCAGTCAATACATCCGTTTAAACCCCTCACACCCTGACACACCTGACTACCTGGACCCATCTATCACATCTCTGCTACTCTCTCCACTTAGCATTCTTTTTTTTTACTTTCTCTTTTTTCTTTTCTGAGACAGATCTGTGCTCTGTTGCCAAGGCCTGGAGACTGCAACGATGCGCCCTCGCTCTCGCTCGACTGCAAGCGCTTCCGCCTACTGAAGTTTCCACACATAATATAAAAAAAAATATCGCTCAGCCTCACCGAGTACGCTGGTGCTACAGTCCACCACCGCGCCCCAACTAATTTTTCTTTTTATTAGCTAGACGACAGAGTTTCACCCCCATGTTATGCGGATGGTTCAACTCCTCCCTGACCTTCCGCAGATCCACTCCGCCTCAGCCTCACCAAACGTGCTGGGATTACAAGGCGTCGAGCCACTCGTGCGCCTGGTCCTCTTTAGCCATCCTTTTCTTTATGTACTGCCTACAGAAATTAGAAACATTAACCAAAAGTATTAAAAGCTGAACCATGCACTTCCTTTTTTTTTTTTTTTTTTTTTTTTGAGACCAGAGTCTCACTCCTGTCACCCCAGCGCCTGGAGTGTCCGTGGTGCAATTTCGCACTCACTGCACCCTCACCCTTGCAATTCTCCTACACCTCACGCTCCACGCAGTAGCTGCGCGAATCTACAGGTACCTGCCATTGCACCCAGCTAATTTTTGTATTCTTTAGTAGAGATGGCAGCGCGTTCTCACCATCTTGGCTACGGATGGTCTCTAAACTCGTACCGCTCGTGACCACCCCCACTCGCCTCCCCAACAACGTGCTGGATTCACATTACAGCAAAGGGTTACTACAAAGCACTGCTGTTTTTGGTTGGGGAACTTTCATTGAACATACAGTTGGGAAGATGGATGACTCTGTGATCTTATGCAGTGTAGATTTGTTTTCAAGTAGATTACCATTGCCATATGGTACCTGGAAATTTTTCTCAAACTCTAAAATACATCTGGAGACCTGCATTTGATTGATTATGTCAATGAAGAGTATGCTTAGTGTTTATGATTTATTGATTTAGTGCATTGCTACAAGGTAAGTGGTGACCCTATTAAAACATTTTGAATTCAGTTGTCTTTATTTTTTTTTTGAGACGGAGTCTTGCTCTGTCGCCCAGGCTGGAGTGCAGTGGCGCAATCTCGGCTCACCGCCTGTATCCAGCCTTGTGAGGCTGAAGCGGGCAGATTCACGAGGTCGAGGGAGTTTGAAGACCCAGCCTGGCCAACATCAGTTGAAACCTGTCTCTACTAAAAATACAAAATTAGCGGGCGTGTTGGCGGCACCTATAGTCCCAGCTATTAGGGAGCTGGAGACAGCGAGATCACTGGACCTGGAGGCGGAGCGTTGGTGTGAGCGAGACTTACGCACTGCACTCCAGCCTGGGCACAGAGTGACGACTCCGTCTCGGGAAAAAAAAAAAAAAACCTCACACAAATATAAACTATACCATACATTAAAAAACACCTTAAAAACTATATTCAAAGTGTTAAAATTAAAAAAAAAATCCAGGACCTCTTATGCGGCAGTTACGAATCTCCTCAAGCACTGAGGCTCAGCTGTCAGGTGGCTTACGCAGTTAAAATCCCAGCCTTTCTGGGGAAGCTCAGGGGGATGGAATCACCGAGTCAGGAGTTCTCGCAGACCAGCATGCACCAACAGGGACCCCGTCCTTGACCAAAAATACAAATAGCCAGGCATGATGGAGCAGGCCTGCAGTCCCAGCTACTTGGGAGGCCTAAGCACAGGAGACCTGCTGAACCCAGGAGGCAGAGGTCTGTGTGAACGCCGAAGATTCGCGCACTGCAGCTCAGCCTGGGCGACAAGCAAAGCTCCGTACTCAAACAAAATAAAGACAAACTGAAATTCAAAATGTTTTAATAGGGTCACCAC